GGTGTGAGTATAAAATAATAACAAATGACTAAATATATAAATATGTCACATATATTAAAAGTTTTTGGGGGTCATTGTTGCTCCTTCTCTTCATTTACATATTTAGAGTTGGCAGCAGGGCCCATGGCCCCCCTCTGACCTTCTTATTGACGCCACTGGCTGGAAAATCTTTCCAATTTCTGAAATTAAAAGCATTCACGGGATTAACTTAATGTACAAAAAGCTCATCCAGCAGCCATGTCTCTGTGATTCAGTTTTTATTTGAGTTATTTTTATTTGTTTCTACCATCTTTTAATGTTTATGTTGTTTTAATTTGTTTTTATTTATGATTTCTCATCTTGCATGCTCTTATTTTGTGTTTTCATCATTTTTCTGTTGTCTTATTTTTCTTTCTCATTTTCCTCATATAAACACACACACACACACACACTTCCCAGGCGCTCCTAGAGGACGTTTCCTCCAGAGAAGCCGAGGTTGACCGCCTGGAGTCCCTTGGCCAGTCGCTGTCCCCGCTCAGCTGCGCAGCCGATAGGGATTGGCTGCGGGAGCGTGTGGGGGCGGTGAGGTCGGGTCACTCCGAGCTCGCCGATTGGTGCGCTCGGCGGGCAGCGCTGCTGGATCAGGCGCTGGCCAACGCGCAGCTGTTTGGGGAAGAAGAGGTGGAGGTGCTGAACTGGCTGGCGGAGGTGGCTCAGAGACTCAGTCAGGTCTCTGTGCAGAGCTACCTGCCCCAGCAGCTGGCTGAGCAGCACAAACACACACTGGTACGACACAGAGAGCCGCCGTTAAAGCCTCATCGCATCAAATAACAAAAGCAGCTTCTGTCCTTTTCAGAGGAACCACAGGAATCAGAAGCATAAATGAAACATTTTCTGTTTTCGTCTTCAGGCTCTTAATGAAGAAATCCTGAGCAGGAAGAAAACAGTAGATCAGGCCATCAAGAACGGCCAAGCTTTACTCAAACAGACCACAGGTAAGCTCCTCCCTAAGGAGACTAAGAACCTCGAAGCTCCTGGATGGTCCTTGATGGGTTGCGGCGTCTCCCTTTACAGGCGAGGAAGTCCTCCTGATCCAGGAGAAGCTGGACGGGATCAAGTCCCGTTACGCCGAGATGACGGCCGGCAGCAGCAAGGCCCTCCGCACGCTGGAACAGGCCCTGCAGCTCTCAACACGCTTCGCCTCCGCACACGATGACCTCAACCTGTGGCTGGACGGCGTAGAGGCGGAGCTTAACAATGTGGAGCCGGACTCCTCACCTGCCTACCAGGAGAGACAGAAGGTGGGAGGAGTTAGGGCCTCTCTCTGTCTTACATTGCGACCTCACAAAACCAGATAAAATAAGGCGTCATTGGAGCGGTGGTTTTATACGGAAGAGGATTAGGGCCACTGAAAAAAAAAAGTTAACTGAGTTTTAAATTTTATTTCAGTTTAAAATGGGAAAAACTCAGAATTCTGACTTTTTTCTCAGAATTCTGAGATTAAAGTCAGAATTCTGAGAAAAAAGTCTGAATTCTGAGAAAAAAGTCTGAATTCTGAGAAAAAAGTCTGAATTCTGAGAAAAAAGTCTGAATTCTGAGAAAAAAGTCTGAATTCTGACTTTAATCTCAGAATTCAGACTTTTTTCCCATACTATACTGAAATTAAAAAAAAAAAATCAGTGAACTTTTTTCTTTTTTCAGTAGCCCTAATCCTCATCCGTAGTTTTAGGATTTCCTGTTATTATTTTTAAAAAAAAGTGTTTTAAAAGGTTTATAAATTACATTTGATATTTTCCTTAACAAGATATATATTTAAAAATAGGAATAAAGTTTACTCTCAAATTGAAAAATCTAAGTTATTATAAAAACAAGGCTCAAAACATATTGACCTGTGAGTACATGAGCTCCCTCTAGTGGTAATTTTGACTCATTTCAGTTTAGATCAGCCAACAGCCTGAAGATAGTTTCAGACTTACTTGAAAAGGGTCAAAGGTCAGTTAAACACAGCGTAATCATAACTTTAAAAGTCCGTAAGACCTGCTTTCATCCTTTATTAACTACAGACTTTTATTTTGTTAATGCTTTCCTTCTGTAATGATGTTTTTTTCAGTGTTTCCAGCATCAACCCACCCACAGCTGAGTTTCCATAGAAATGCTCTTTATTCTTGGAACTCAGTAACATTTTCAAAGCTGTTGAAAGGATTTCTGTTATATAATTTGTTTCCTGTCTCCAGGTTTTGTCCATCTGAGATTTTTTTTTCAGGATTTGACATTTAAAATGCTTTTTTTTTTAACGAGCTTCATGTTGGCCTGTTTTTCACCACGTTCTGGTTCTCTGCTGCAGGAGCTGAAGAAAGTGTCGGCTGAGAAGCGGCTGGTTCTGGACACGGTAAACGAGGTGGGCAGCGCTCTGCTGGATCTGGTGCCGTGGCGAGCACGCGAAGGCCTGGACCGGCTTGTCGCCGACGCCAACCAGCGTTATCGGCATGCAGATGAGACCATCACTCAGCGTGTGCAGCTGGTGCAAGCTGCCATCCAGAGGTCGCAGCAGGTAATGCAAGAAGCGTCCAACTGTCTTAAGAATCAATGTTCATTTCTGTTATGTCATTGCCAAATTAATGGAGAGAAAATTGACTTTAACAATGATTGAAAGAAGAACAGTTAAAAAACTCAGGACATCAGGACATAATTATAATAGCAGCTTGTTATATTTTAGCTCTCCCGAGTCAGAAATGGTGCACAACACACTATTAAAACCCCACAGTTGTAAAAAACCCTTAAATCCCCAGTGGGTTTGTGGAAGCAAAACTCCAGCCTCAACCTGGCTTTGATGTTACGCTTCCACAGAGCCACGGCATCGAGCTCAGGTCCTTCCTGCAGTTTGTCTCTTCGAGTCAGGTAGATAGCCATTTTTAGCCTCGTGACACCATCCTGATCTCGAGTTTTTTTTGGTTTGAAGTCCTTATTTGGCCTTTTAACAAAATATGTAAAAAGAAAAAACAAATACATTTTTGATATTAATAATTTATTACTATGCGTAGTCTTCTGCCCTCTATCAGGTATATCTGATTGTGTACAATAGGATTTTGAGCAAAGTTTTTACCATTAAATTATGCAAAAGGTTTCAGACGCAAAACATTTCAGAAACCGTTTGTATCAAATACGATACATTTGGCATTATAGTGTTAAATGTTATTGAAACGAGTTTTGCTCACTGTGAACTCCTTTCTACAGTACGAGGAGGCGGTGGACGCAGAGCTGGCCTGGGTCGGGGAGACCGAGCGTAAGCTGACGTCTCTGGGCCCCCTGAGTCTGGAGCCCGACGTCACGGTGGCTCAGCTTCAGGTGCAGAGAGCCTTCAACATCGACATCATTCGACACAAAGACACCGTTGATCAGCTCCTCAGAGTCAGAGACGAAGTTCTGGAAGCCTGCAGCGACGCTCAGAAGGACGCTCTGATGGCACGTCACCAACATTTCCTCGTAGTGTCAAAAACGGTCTGCGGGAGCGAGGGATTTAATGGTGTCTCCTCCCTCAGGTGAAAACGGATTCTCTGAGCACGCGCTACGATGCGGTGAGTCAGAGCCACAGCGAGCGGTTCTCAGCTCTGGAGCAGGCTCAGGTCCTGGTGGCTCGGTTCTGGGAGACCTATGAGGAGCTGGAGCCGTGGCTGGGTGAGACCGAAGCCCTCATCGCCCAGCTCCCGCCTCCAGCTATCGACACAGACGCTCTCCGGCTGCAGCAGGACCAGATGAGGGTGAGACATCCCACTCTCTGCCTCAGGGGTTAAAACTGTGCTCTGTCTACATGTTAAAGGATTTTAATATTTGCATGCAGCTGCTCAGAGAGTCCATCGCCGAGCACAAGCCCCACATCGACAAGCTGCTGAAGATCGGACCGCAGCTGGCGGAGCTCAGCCTCCAGGAGGGGGAGACAGTGAGGCAGCGCTACACCCAAGCAGAACGACGCTACCTGGCCATCAAAGAGGAGGTGAAAGGTCGCGCAGGAGCTCTGGATGAGGCGGTGTCTCAGTCTGCACAGGTACGGCCCGCAGCATCACTGATCTGTCCGTCCTTCAGCTGCAGACAGACGTGTTTATGTAGTACACTAAACCAAGGAATCTAAACATCTGCAGTGTTTTTATCTTAATCAGGCATCAACATCGTTACTAAACAGCATGAAGTTTCTGGCCGTGTTTGAACGTTTTAAGATGTTTTTCGCTCGCTGGAAACTAACAAAGATTTATGGCTAACAAAACTGGTTTCCAGCTCAATTACTTTTACTCCACTGTGTTTATAAGCAGGGTTGGGAATCCAAAACCGAGGTCCTGTAAACAACAACACCGATTCTTTACAAACCTTTTCCTCTTTGTTTGTTTTACTCTAATCAGAAATGCAAACAGGACAGTCGCTCATAGAAACAGATGTTTTTAAAACGGACGATCCCAAACAGCCTAGAAAAAAAAGAAAAATGTCTTAAAATATGTTGAATATTTCCAGCTTGATTCGTTGTTTAATTTTTTTATGGTTTTTGTTGATGGGCAGGTCCTGGCAGACCCGTGTCCATCTGTTTACGTCTGTAACCAGCCGTATAACTGATCCCCAGCATCATGTTAAAGTTAACAGGGCTAACAGAGACCGTAATGATGTCAGCATTTAGACTGAATGAAGCAAACTGTTGAGTTTTTCAGGGTTTTTTCGCACTGTGCCTGATATTGTAGCTACATCCTAATCTCATCTCATGAGACGCTGCTGGATCAGCGTCGTTTCTGCTGTTATTTTGTTCTGTAACTGAAAGCATGACTGACTGAACTCACCGTGTTGTTTCTCCACCCCTCCTATAAACCACTCCACGCCTCGTTCCGTCTCCTCCTCCCACCCATATCTTTTCCTCCATCCTCCACCCACCACCTTGTCTCCTTCCTCCTCCCCACCTTCATCCTTTTCACCTAACCCTGCTTGTCAAACTCCTCCCACCTCCACCCCTCCTTCATTGTGGGATGTTGCCTGTGTGTGTTGTTGCTCCTCACCTCCATTTTTCTCCATGGTCACTGCAATCACCCAGCTGCTAGAGGTAAGACATCCAACCTGCACTCAAGATGTTCACCTGAAGCGTTAAACCTGAATGCTGCACCTAAACTTAGAGAAACTCTTCCTTCTGTGTCAGAATATGCAGAAATAAGAACAGGCTGAAGAAGTTCAGTATTTAATCTCACTTATTTCAGCAAGTTTAACTGATTTTTATATTTTAAAAATGTATTTCTTGTTTTTTTTTTCTTTATTTTGAACATGCAAGAAAAAAACAAAAAAAAACAATTAAACAATGTTTAAAAACATTGGAGAGAAAAACAACAAACAAGGTACCTTTCTTTCCTGAGTTAATTTAGCTCTATTACATGTGCAAAAAGGAGTAGAAGGAAGTAAAACTTATGTACTCCTACCCCTTTAATTCTTCGTATTTCTTCAATTTACAATATTTATAATTATGTTGCTATATATATTCATATAAATACATACCTACCTACAATGGAGGATAAAAAGTGCCAAAATTAAATAAATAAATACAGCGATAAACAATGAATTAAATGTGTAATTCATTAAAAAAAATAAGGAATTAAATATATAAATGTGTCATTAATTTAATAAAATACGTCTTCATTTAATTAAAAATATATATATAATTATTTCATAAGAATCTGTCAAACTCACCCATCAAAGTTAGGGGGCGGGGTTAACGCGAATC